CTGCCATGTTTCGCCCATCGACTGAGATCTTGTAGTGAGGCACGCTGTTGAAGGTTGCGAGTGAGTCGAGCGGCTTCTTTGATGATGAGCTCAACTTGCTTCCATGCCGCTATCGGCGTAAACTGGGCCTTGGCGACACTCTCTCAGGAAGTTGAGGTGGCGCTGTTGCGACGGGTCGAGGGAGATGTTCGGGTCGATGGATTGCCCGTCCGCGCGAGCAGCTGTGACGTTCGTGAGCATAAAACGAAGAATCGCATGATCACTAAGTCCCTGAACTGACAGCGCAGCTCCATCTTCGTGGATCTGCAGGTCGACGTCTACGCTCAGCAGATCGACGCCAAATAGCGATGCAAAGACACGATCAATAGCCGTGGCTGCTTGAGTGCCGGCCGAGAAGTTCGCGGGCAGATCGCGTGTGGCCCCTGTGAGGGTCGCGAATAATTTGCGCCGGCAAGCTTGCTCTCTCTGACGCTGTCCGCCTGGAGCCATGAGTCGCCATCTTGCCAAAAGGATCTTTGACATTGAACCAAGGGGCCGCGCTTGTGTTAAAGTCGCCCATGACGAGGAAGAGGTGCTGCAGCGGGGCTGTAGCTGCCCGCCTTCTGGAAGCGCGCCGCGCTTCCAGAACTCTCTCCACGTCTGCTGCCGCCAGATCAGGTTCGCGAGCATGCACGAGCAACGCCTCGAAGCCCGTGACGTGATCGGCAATGTGAAGTACTGAAACTTGCCCACGTATGAAAGGCCACAAAGAGACGGCTGTGGTAGGGCATGTCGCAGCAAGAATGAGAAATGCCAGTCCGCCTTTACCGCGATTGCGAAAGCAGCCATCAGAGAAGACCTGGTATGAATAGACTGGCCTGCCGATGTGTGATTCCGAATCCAACTGCAAACCATGCGCGTCTTGTACAACAACGAGGCCTTGTTTGCGCAGTATGTTAGCGGTCTGATCGTATTCCAGCGTTTAGGGTCGTCATGGCATGGCCCCCCGCGCATTACAGCACATGCAGTGCCCTGTTGGATCCGAGCGCGGAGGCGGAAAGGAAGTGGGAGAGGTTTTTGGTCGCCGCTGTCGCCTTGGAGTGCTGCGGTCCGATGATGAGCCCGAGGACGAGGCGCCGATGGTCGAGGCGTGCGGCGAAGGGCTAGAGATGTCGATGAAACCCGATTCCGCACATGGGGTAGTTGGGCTTCCTTCATTCCGGGCGGGCCACCAAGCAGGAGGAGGAATAGCTCGCGCAGGGTGCTGCACTTCATGTTGATCGAGAAGCCCTGGTTCACTGTGTTCTGGGGGCGCGCCAGGCACTTGCAATCGGCGGTGCTATCTAGAGGGCTCCCCAGTATCTCGGGGACAACAGGGGCGCCCCGATCTCCCTGGGGAAATAAACGCGGCGCAGCGGATACATGCTAGAACCTGCGATGCAGTGGAGCTTGCCTGTCGGCGAGTAGGCCGCGCTCGCGAACAGGTGGAGCGCCTTCAAGTTCACGCGGGGCTTGTTCTGGCGCGGGAGCTGGTCGCAGGTGGCGCCGCGGGCGCGCGCGGTCCGCGCGCCCATCTGCAGGCCCAGGAGGGCGGGCAAGATCTGCGCCTGCAGGCGCGGCGCGCCAGGGAGACCAGCGCTCCTCTGTCTACTGCGCTGCGTCATCAGCCCTGTGGATAGCGGGAAGTACTGCAGCGAATGGCCTTGTCGATGGGGAACTTGGCCAACGCGCCCTAATTCCAGCGAGTGACTGCCGCGCCCATGCTAGTGAACTCCAGCTCGGCGGCGGGGGTGGCGTTGCTGGGGGCGCGCCCTCGATCGCGCCGCGCGCGCCAATCGCGCGCGCGGGGTAGCGGGTCTGACAGAGGGCGAGAAGCTTTGTTTGTTGTCCGGGTTTCCATTCGGATACGCTTGGTGTGCTATATCTGGATTGACGTAGAGCGGGACGCGCTGGGTTTGGTTGATGGCGCAGTCCGCTGGCGTCTGGATCGTGAACTGGCAGCATTCTCCACGCCCAGGCAGCCGAAACGCCCGCGCGATCGCAACAACTTTGGCAGTGGCGGCTGAAAGACCTCCAACCATCTGTGCTATGAATCGTCGATTTTGTCCTGCGCCGTGTAACTGATATTGCTGAGTTGCGGCGTCGGCTGCATCCAACCATTCAGTCATTCATGTGCGAATTGCTGCTGCGTTGACTGGCTGAGCGCATGAGGGAACGAGTGTGGTGGGATCTGGCTCGCGCCCCCAGTCTGAGAGCTTGGCCATATCCAGGATGTGGACCTCTGCATCTGAGAGGCTGGGCTGCTGGTTGATGCGCTTGATGACGTCCCAGACTTCTTGTTGTTGGGCTGCTCGCTCGGCTTGAGCGGTCTTGGTGGCCATGAGATCCTGTTCTTGACCGTCCAAGCGTCTGGTCGTTGCTGCTTCATGCCGCTGGAATGTCGCGAGGAATTGGGTATGCGATGTTGCCACTGCGCTTCCAACTGTTGCTTGTGCACTGGAAATTTGGGAGGCCATGACCTGCTTGATCCCGTGATGGTATCCAGTGCCAGTGAAGACTGCGGCCATGGGGCCTGCGTCAGACCCCCTGTTGGCGCGGCTGCGACCGCCGCTGGAGTTGGCGGAGCTGGAGCACGTGCCAGAGGGTCATCTGCGGGACTTGTGGGAGAGCGCGCTGCAATAATAGAGGACTGCTGGTCTGCCCGAGCTGCTGGATGTGCCTGCCATTGTTGTTGCCCTTGCGTCGGGAAGGTAGCGGGTGCTGCTTCGACGGCGTGCCGAGTGGTCATTGGAGCTTGTTGCCGTCCTTGTTGAGCATGGTGTGCCAACCATTCAGCCTGCTCTTGGGTGGGGAATGTAAGAGCGGCGTCCAATGATTGCTAGGTACCCCGCCACTCTTCTTGAGTAGCGGCTGAATGAAATCCCACTGGAGATTGGTGTGGGTCTCGCTCGAGAGGTCCTTTCGATCGTCCGCGATGTCCTTTGGGAGCGGGGTCTGAGTCTGCTGCTGAAGACGAAGAATGTCGGCGTCGATCACGGTCTCGGGAGTGTCGATGTTCTGAGTCACGTCGGTGATCTCGTTTGTCACGATGTCCACTGGTCTGGCTGCGGCTTTTCGAATCACTTCGAGAGAGATTGCTGTCGGTGTCCCCTTTTCCGGGGAACAATGCCACGCGCTGTCTGTCCGATGCCATGCGAGAGAGGAGCCAACCCAAACACCTGCAATCGAAGTAATTGAATTGGGACTGTCCGAACGTGAACTTCATTGTTCGAATACGGAAGGGCGCCACAGGCTGGACAGCCGTAGCGGGCACTGGAGGGATATGACAACGAATCCGAGCTGAACGGCCAGCTGCCATAGGACATGTTTTACTTGAGCCAAAATGGCTACGGAGGAGGAGGAGGAGGAGGAGGAGGAGGAGGAGAAGGCTCCCCCTGTCACCCGTAATCGGCCGAAGAGGGGGGGGGGGGGGGGCGATACTTGCGGATGTGTGTGTGCAAGGCTGGGGACACGGCGAAAGAGTCGCCTGGCTGGGCACGGTCTGCTTTCAGATCTGCAGCATTTGTCGGTGTCTTGTGTGGGACCCTGGAGCATCTCGGAGTGGTCCCGGGATCGTTTTTTGCAACTGGTCGGAGTCGCCTGGGGATCGTTTCAGGGAGCTTCATGGCAACTATGGAGGTCTCTTCCTGGGACCGCTCTGGAAACATCCGGGGGGGATCGGAGCCTCTTGGCAAGTGTCGGATTCGTGTGGGGGACCTGGGGCATGTCGGAGTGGTCTCTGGGCCACTCTTAGGGGCTGCGTGGCATCTAACGGAGGCTCTTGGGAGGCTCGGAGGTATCCTGGAGCGGTCAGAGGCCTGCGTCCAGGGTTCGGGAAACGGCGGAAGGGTGCCGTGGCTGGAGGCGCTCTCCGTGGATGCTACGAGGCTATCGAAGTCTCCTCCGAAACGCTGGGGCATCTGGGAGTGGTGCTTGGAGGGTTCAGGGCCCGTTGATCGCTGCGAGAAGGCCGTCGTTTGGGGGTCCGTTGGGGCCCTTCGGGGGGGTCTTTCTGAAGCCTGTGGGGCCCTCTTGGTCTATTGGGGGGCTCTCTGGAGCTGTCTCGGGGGCTTCTTGGGGGCTGCGGGAAACCTGTCGTCTGGGTTCCGTCGGGGCTCTCCTGGTCGAGCTTCCAGGGGCCCTCTGGGGCCATTTTGGAACTCTCTTGGGCTGTCCGGGGGGCCTCTGGGGCCATCCTGGGGCCATGGTTGGGGCCTCGGGCCGTGCTGGAGCTCTCTGGGGGGCCTCCTGGGCGGCTCCTGAGACTGGGACTCCTTCGGGCTGTCGTTGGGGCTGTCTGGAGCCTTTCTTGGGCAGTCATGGGCCGTTTGGGGCCGTGATGGGGCCGTCGGCCGACGTCATTTTGGGGCTCTCTTGGGTCGTCTGGGGGGCTTCTGGGGCCGTCCTGGGGCTGGGCGGCTTCTGGGACTCCTTCGGGCTGTCGTTAGTGGCCACCGGAAATTCTGTGTGGCTCTCTGGGGCCGCCCTTGGGCAGTCATGGGGCCGTTTGGGGCCGTCGTGGGGCAGTCGGCCGAAGCACTGGGCCGTCTTGGGGCCGATCCGGGATGGTTCTCGAGCTGTCGGGGGCCGTTCTAGGCGCCGTCTGCGGCCGTTTGAGGGCCGGACTGGGGAGAACATGGGGAATCTGCAAAACCGAAAGCACATCGATGGTTTTAGCTTCGGGGAACCGTCATCGGGGTCTGGCTGGGCCGTCTTCGGAGGCACATGGCCAGTCGTCGGGCCGTCCTGGGCTCTCGGGCTCTCGTGGGACGTCCTCGCGCCCTCCAGAGCGTCTTGGAGCGATTTCGGGCTGCCTGAGGCCGTGGTGGAGCCACCTGGGAGCTCTCAGAGCCGTCGGAGAGCGGCGGGGCGATCTGGGCGATGGGGGGCAGCTGGCGCACTGCTGGCGCGACTCGCACGCGCAACGACCAGAATTCTATTACAGATGACGTCGGGCTCCAGCTTCATCTCCCACATCTCGCTCAGCAGCGCCAGCGCCCTCTGCCACTGCTCTCCCTTCCCACACGCGCTGATCCCAGCGTTGTAGCTGACTAGGGCTGACCCGCAGACTCCGTCCATAACATCTTTCTGGAATGGTTCTCGGAGGAACGACTGAGATTTTGCCGAAAACCTGTAAGCACGGCGGCGGCCTGGGCGGCGGCAGCGAAACCGCGCCTTCGCAATACGGCCCGAGACGGCCCCAAGGTTGCTCCAAGATCGTCCAAGACGGGTCGAAGATGGCCCCATAATGGCCCAAGGAGTTCCCGTGAGGGCTGCAAGAGCGGAACACGTCAGGGCCCCCAGGAGGCCCGGGAGAGGGCTCGTGACCGACCATAAGCGGGAGTGATTTTTTGGACCCAATCCGTCAGGAAGCGTCAAGCAAGCGTCGGGGAGGCCGAAGAGCCCCATGCGGAGACCCGGCACGGAGTCAGGAACTGGGTCGAGATGGCTCGTGGCACCGTTCACTCTTGGGAGACTTCAGCCTCATCCTCCCCGTCGTCATCATCATCATCATCATCATCATCAGCATCAGCATCAGCATCAGCATCAGCATCATCATCATCATCATCATCATCATCATCATCATCATCATCATCATCATCATCATCATCATCATCATCATCATCATCATCATCAGCAGCATCATCATCATCATCATCATCATCATCATCATCATCATCATCATCATCATCCATCATCATCACATCATCATCATCATCATCATCATCATCATCATCATCATCATCATGATCATCATCATCATCATCATCATCAGCAGCATCATTACCATCATCAGTATCATCATCCAGCATCTTATTGTTGTTATTATTATTGGTATGAATATTCATCTTCATCTCCATCTTCGGCATCATCAGCGTTATCATCATCAGCGTCATCATCATCATATCATTATTATTCTTATTAATATTGTTGTTATTCATCTTCATCTGCATCTTCGTCATCATCATAATCATCCTCATCATCCTCATCATCCTCATCCTTATCCTCATCCTCATCTTCATCACCATCGTCATCATCATCATGATTATCATCATCAGCAGCATCATCATCATCATCATCATCATCGTCGTCGTCGTCGTCGTCATCCTCCCCATCATCATCATAATCATCATCGTCATCATCATCACCACCATCATCATCATTACCATGATCATCATCATCATCATCATCACCATCATCAGCGTTATCATCATCAGCGTCATCATCATCATATCATTATTATTCTTATTAATATTGTTGTTATTCATCTTCATCTGCATCTTCGTCATCATCATAATCATCCTCATCATCCGCATCGTCCTCATCATGATCGTCCTCATCCTCATCCTCATCCTCATCCTCATCCTCATCCTCATCATCACCATCACCATCACCATCACCATCACCATCACCAGCATCATCATCATCATCATCATCATCATCATCATCATCATCATCATCATCATCATTATCTTCATCATCATCATCATCATCATCACCAACATCATCAGCAGCAGCAGCAGCATCATCATCATCATCATCATGATCATGATCATCATCATCATCATCATCATCATCATCATCATCATCATCATCATCATCATCATCATCATCATCATCATCAACATCAACATCAACATCAGCATCATCACATCATTTGGAATGTCGGCCCCAAACGGCGCAAGACGGCCCAAGATCGCGTCAGACGCCTCGCAAATGGCCCCATACATCATTTGGGACGTCGGCCTCAAACGGCCCCAGACGGCCCAAGATGGCGTCAGACGCCTCCAAAATGGCCCCGTGCTGGCCCAAGAGGCCCCCGAGAGGGCTGCAAGAGCGAGAGACGGCATGGCCCCAAGAGGCCGCGGAGAGGGCTCCAGACCGACAAAAAGGGCGATGGATTTTAGGCCAAATCCGGCAGGGAGCGCCAAACAAGCATCAAGAGGGCCGAGGAGCCCCATGGTGCGCTTGGGGCCGTTGTGGGACCGTCTTCGGGCCGTCTTATGCCGTCTTTGGCTGCTGTTGGGTCTTCGGTACTTCTTGGGCTGTCATCTTGGGGCCTCTGGGGCTCGTTTCGGAGCCTCTCAGCGCTTCTTTTCGGCCTCCTGGAAGCCTCCTGGGGCCCTCTTGTGCTGTCTCGGGTGCCTCTTGGGCCGTGTTCAGGCCGTCCAGGGCCGTCTGGGGGTTGTCTGCGGCCGTCTTGGGCGTCTCTGGAGCAATCTGGGGACCCTCTGGGGGTCGTCTTGGGCCGTCCTGGGCCGCTCTTGAGGCTGTCTTGGGTACCCAGTGGGCCGCCAGGGGCGCCTCAGGAGCCGTCCTGGGGCCATCTTGGGACCCTGTATGGCCGTCTTGGACGCTATGAAGAGGGCAAGGCCGGGAACTGCCAAAATGAACATTTTCCCAGGGAATGAAACGATTTTTCGGTGTTCGGTCTCTCTTGTTGCTCGTCGTGGAGCCCACTTGGAGCGTTTTGGAAGTCTCTTGGGCCGTCTGGAAGCTGTCTGTGGCGTTGCCGAGCGCTCTGGGCGCGTCTCGGAGACCCTCTTCGGCCGTCTGGGGGCCCTCTTGAAGGCCTCTTGGTGCGTCTCGGAACGCTCTTGGGCCATCTTGGAAGCACGCCGGGGCCTGCTGGGGCTCTCAGGGGCCGCTGGAGGGGGCCGGTCCGCTGCCACCGCTCTCCACATCCGCGAGCGCTGGGGCAGCCATTGTAGGAGAGATAGGGCTGACCCGTGGACTCCGTCCACGACATCTTTCTGGAATGGCTCTTGGAGAAAAGGCGGAGAAGCACGGCGGCGGTCAGGGGGGGCGGTAGCGAGACCGCGCCTTCGTGTCCGAGCTCTTGCAGCGCTCCAGCAGCTTGGCCCCAGCACGCAGCTCGTTCGCCCCCCTCCTGTTGGGGGCAGTTTTTAAGTCTCTCGGGGATGTGCGTCAAAGTCGACGAAGCCCATCTGAGGCGTCTTAGGAGCGACCGGGGAAGGGCTCGGGGAGGCCCGAGGGCCACCGGGAGCGCTGGGGAGGCTCGCAAGGATCTCTGGGGAGGGCCCAAGAAAGCTCCAGTCGGGCATGCGTTCTAACATTTTAGCAGCAACTGCTGTTGGGTCGGACGTGCTCCGCTACGTTGGGAAGGCCGTTTTGTCGGAGTCCAATTGAAGGCGAAGCTCTCTCGGGCGTGTCAGGAGCGCTGGGCCCCCTGTCTTGGAGGCAGTTTTGAACCTCTTGGGGGGTTGAGGGGCTCTCAGGTCCTCGTGTGGGCCTCTTCGGAACCTTTTGGGACCCTCTTGGGCCGTCTGAGCTCCGCTTGGGCCGTCTTGGGGCGACGTTCAAAGCTCCGCACGTCATCTGGACCCTCATGAGGCGCTCTTCTGGGCCTTCTCGGGTTTTCTTCTCTTCCTCCGCCTCCTCCTCCTCCTCCTCCTCCTGCTGCTCCTCCTCCTCGTCCTCCTCCGCCTTCTTGCCTCGATCCTGTATGCCCTGGATCTTGGATCGTCAATCGTAGACCTCGGAATATCGAAAACGGCTGTTTGGGGCCTGCATTCTGCCTCTCACCTCTCGTCCACCCCCCCTCAGTTGAAGGGAATTCTGTAGCCACTGAGGGCCTCTGGGAGCCCTATGGAGGCCTCTTGAAGTTTCTTTTCGGTTTCGAAGGGGCCTCTTGGGAACCTCGGGGGCTCTCGTCGGTGCCGCTTGGGCCGTCTCGGAACCGTCCTGGGCCGTCTTGAGCGCCTCTTGGACCGTCTGGGGGCCGTCGTGGACTGTCTTGGGCGGCTCTTGGGGCTGTCTTTGGTGCCTTCGGGGCCGCCTTGGGGCCGTCGTGGACTGTATTGGGCGCCTATTGGGCCGTCTTCGGGCATCTTTGGGGCTGTCTTTGCGGGCTGTCTTGGGTGCTTCTGGGGCCGTGCTCGGCCCGTCTTGGGGGGTTCTGTGGCCGTCGTGGACGCGTCGGAGACGAGAAGCACGAGAATGCCCCAAATGTAATTTTTCCGAAGGGTATGGAGCGATTTTGGCGTCTCGGGGCTGCCCTGGGGAATCCTGGAGGGCCGTCTTCAAAAGCTCCTGGCCTGCCCTGGGAGCCCTTGGGGCCGTCGGAGCGGCCTCTTGAGCAGCTCGGAGCGCCCCTGGTGCCGTCGGGGTGGCCTCTGGAGCGGCTCGGAGCCGTCTTGGGGTCCTCGGGGCACCCTCTTGAACGGTTCGGGGCAATCTTGGGGCCGTGGGGGCGGCCTCTGAAGCGTCTCGGAGCCGTCGTGATGCCGTCGGGGCGCTCTCTTCAGCGGCTCGGAGCCGCCGGAGAGCACTCGATGCAGGAACCCTTCTCGCACGCACTGTTCCTCACGTCGCGTGTTCAGAGTGTGCACGCCCTGCGGCCGGAGATATTTCTTGGGCCTCGTATGGGGTCTTGAGGATGACATGGGGCCGTCTTCGGCGCCTCATGGGCAGTCGTGGGCCGATTTGGGCCGTCTTGGGTACCTCTCGGGCTGTCGCGGGGCCGTCTTGGGTGGCTCTTGGGCCATCTTGGGCGCCTCCTGGACCATCTTGGAGCCATCCTGGGTGGTTGTGGGGCCTTTTCCGGATCCCCCTGGACGGCCTTGGAGCGTTCGGGGGAGAACCCCAGCAGCCGTCTTGGGCCGTTATTGGCTCGAAATGGCGAGGTGATGGACATCTTTCAAAATCCATAGGGAAACCAATGACTTCGCTTGCCGCGGCACGTCTGGACGGCCTCTGGGGCCATGTAGGGGCCATATTGAAGGTGTTGGGCTGTCTCGGAGCTCTCTGTGAACCCTCTTGGGCGGCTCTTGGGGCCCGTCTGAGGGCTTCTGGGGCCTCTCTCGCGCTGTATTGGGTCTCTCTTGGGCCGTCTAGGGCTCCTCGGGGAGCTGTCTTGGAGCACTCCTGAGCCGTCTTGGGGCACTTGCCAGAGCCGTCTTGGGCCGCTCTTAATTCGAAATCGCTAGAACCTGAAATCAGGGGAAAAAGACCATAGACAAATCCATTAATTTTGGCCGCCACGACCCGTCTGGACGGTCTTTTAAGCCGTCTCGGGACCATTCTGGGGCTCTTGGGCTGTCTCGGAGCTCTCCATGAGCCCTCTTGGGCGGCTCTTCGGGCCAATTTAAAAACTCCTGGGGGGCTCTCTTGGCCCGTCTAGGGCTTTTCTGGGAGCTGTCTTGGAGCCCTCCTGGGCCGTCTTGGGGCTCTTGCCAGAGCTCTTGGGCGGCCTTGGAGCGATCGGGGGGGCCCCAAGAGCCGTCTTGGGCCGCTCTTAGCTCGAAATCGCGAGAACCTGAGCATCCGGCAAAAACCATAGAACAATCAATGATTTCTGGCCGCCGCGAGCCGTCTGGACGGCCTCTGGGGCAGTCCTGGGGCCATGTTGGGGCTCTTGGCCCGATCTCGGCGCTCCCTGGACGCGTCCCGAAGCGTGCTCGAGCCGCCCGGAGGCACGCCAGGCCGCGCCAAGGGCCCGCCGAGGCCGCGCCAGGGGCCCGCCGAGGCTGATTTTAGATACTTGATCCGTTTCCCTGCCCGCACGCGCTTCTCCCGGCCATGTAGGGGAGACTACTGTAAGCCCGCGGATTAAATCCACGGTGAGCTGAACCAGGGACTCGCACACCGTGGGTCAACAGCCTGTCGAAGTTGAACAGCTCGGGCGTCCCTGGGGCCGTGTCGGGGGCATGTTAGGCCCTCCTGCGAGCCTGTCTGGGGCGTCTTGACGGCTTCTTGCGGTTTTGGGGCGCCTCAGCGGCCGTTCCCAGGCTGTCCCCCAGAGCCTTTTCTGGGGGACAGGCCGGCTAACTTATTGTGCGTGCGTGCTGTCAGGTTGCTGCTGGAAACTCTCCCCTGCCACTCCTTAGGGTAGCTGCAGGGCTTGCTGCAGGCTCCGGGAGCCGGGGATGGAGGCTGTCTTCGAATCTCCTGGGTGTCTGCGCCATCTCGGAGTGTTCCAAGGAGGGATCTCGTGGTCTTGGGGCTGTCTTGGCGGCCACCGAGGGCTCTACTCGGCCGTAGGGGGGAGCGAGATGCTGGTATTTCTAATCGGCCGTAAAGGGGGACCGAACGAAGTGGCTGCAGGTCGCCCTGTCGCCCCTAACACGCGGAGTGAAGGCCGTGGAGCGGCCAAAGCCTCGATGAGGGGAGGAAGAGATCAGAGAAGGTCCCCCCTGTCACCCCTAATCGGCCGTAGGGGGAGGTCTTGAGGGCGACTCTGGGTCATCGCGGAATGGTCCTGGGATCGCTCTTGGGAGCTCCGTGACAACTATAAGAGTCTCTTGCTGAGACCGCTCTTGGGAACACCATGGGAACTGTCGGAGTCTCTTGGCAAGCGTCGGAATCTTGTAGGCGACTCTGTGGCATCCTGGAGTGGCCCTGGAGCCGCTCTTCGGAGCTCTGTGGGAACTATAGGAATCTTTTGGGAGGCTCTGGTGCATCTCGGAGTGGTCTGGGGCCTGCCTTGGGGTTCTGGGGCTTTCTTGGGGGTGTTTGGGGTTCGAGAGACGACGAAAGGGTGCCGTGGCTCGAGGCACTCTCCTTGGGAGCTCTTTGGGAACCATCGAAGTTTCTTGGGAAACTCTGGGGCATGTGGAAGTGGTCCGTGGACGTTTCTTGGCCCGTTCGGGGCTGCGGGAAAGGTGTCGTCTTGGCTCCCTTCGGCGCCTCTTGGAGCCCTCGTGGGGATCTCTCTGGAGCCCCGAGGGGCCCTCTTGGCCCATTTCGGGGTTTCTTGGGCCGTCTCGGGGCCTCTTGGGCCGTCCTACGGCCATGTAGGGGGTCTCGGACCGTCTTGGAGCTCCCTTTGGTGCCTGTTGGGCAGCTCCTGCAACCCTTGTCAAAGTTAACCTCAAAAATGTCTTACGTGGCTAAACTGTTTGTGGGGAGATACTGGACAGAGTAACGATGACTGCGAGGTACTTGTACGCGCCGCCCCTCCAATGTCGGTCATCATCGAACTTCCGAGTCGTTCCCGGTCAGACCACCTCTGCCCTGGCCCCGACATTGGAAGGGCGTCTATCGACATTGAATGGCGCGCCGACATCGCAGGGGCGTGTTCGCCATTTTTGAAGTTAATTTTGACGAGGGTGCTAGGGCCTTCTTGGAGCTGTCTTGGGGGCCACCAGTGGCTCCATGAGGCTGTCTTGTGCTTCTCTCGGGCAGTCTTCGGGCGCTCTGGGGCTGTGTTGGGGCACCTGGCGGGGCCTCCTGGGCTGTCTTGGGGTGATCTGGCATGGCCCTGGAACCGTCTGCGGCCGCTCTCGGCCCGAAGTGGCGACAACATGGAACACATTTTTGTTCGTCAGCGGCGAGGCGGCGAACTCCGCTCCAGCGAGAAGCTAGATAGGGACACTAACTAGCGAATTGGCTGGCGAGCAAAGAGGGAGGGGGGGACGGCCGAGAGGAAGCAGGGACGCTCAGACGCCGAAGAGTTCGACGATGAGCAGTCCGGCGGGCAACAGCAGCCAGGCGCGCAGGGCCAGAGCGCCGAAAACATGGAAAACATGCAGAAACCGCAGGGGGACCACCATCGGGGTCCGGTTCGGCCGTTTTCTGAAGCACCTGGCCCGTCGTCGGGCCGTCTTGGGTTGTCACGGGGCTCCGTTCGGGTCCTCTTGGGCCGTCCTCGTGCGCTCTAGAGCGTCTCAGGGCTATCTTGGGGCTGCCAGAGGCCGTGTTGGAGCCACCGAGGGGCTCTCTGGAGCCGTCGGAGAGCGCTGGGGCGCTTCGGGCGCTCGGGGGCAGCTTTTTCATTACATTCCCTTTTCGCACGCGCAACGCCCAGAATTTTATGACGTTGGGTTCCAGGTTCACCTCCCGCATCTCGATAAGAAGCGTCAGCGCCAGCTGCCACTTCTCGCCCTTCTCGCACGCGCTGATCCCAGCGCTGTAGCTGATGACGTTGGGCTCCACCTTCGCCTCCCGCATCTTGCTCAGCAGCGCCCGCGCCCGCTGCCACTGCTCGCCCTTCTCGCACGCGCTGATTCCAGCATTGAAGCTGACGAGCGCCGGTCCAGCCATTGTAGGAGAGACTAGGGCTGACCCGTGGACTCCGTCCACGACATCTTTCTGGAATGGTTCTCGGAGGAACGGCGGAGATTTTACCGAAAACCTGTAAGCACGGCGGCGGCTGGGGCGGCGGCAGCAAGACCGCGCCTTCGTGTCCGAGCTCTTGCAGCGCTCCAGCAGCTTGGCCCCGGTGCACAGCTCGTTCGCCCCCCTCCTACTGGGGGCAGTGTTGAAGTCTCGTGGGGATGTGCGTCAAAGTCGAAGCCCATCTGAGGCGTCTCAGGAGCGCCCGAGCCCCCTGGCAAGGGCTCAGGAGGCCCTCGGGGAAAGCCACTGGGAGCGCCAGGGAGGCTCGCAAGCAGCTCCAGGGAGGGCCCAAGACAACTTCAAGATGGTGTGAATTTTCATAAGATCGTAACAGAAACCGCTGTTGGGTCGGACGTGCTCTGCTACGTTGGAGAAGTAGTTTTGTCGGAGTTCCGTGGACGGCGAAATTCCCTCGGGCGTGCCCGGAGCGCCGGGCCCCCTCTCTTGGAGGCAGCTGTGAAGCCTTTTTGGGCCTCTTGGGGGTTTCAGGGCCTCTCAGGTCCTCTTGTGGGCCTCGTCGGGACCTTTTGGGACCCTCTTGGGCCTTCTGGGCTCCTCTTGGGCCGTCTTGTGGCCGCGCTCAGAGCTCCGTACGGCATCTGGACCCTCATGAGGCTCTCTTCTGGGCCTTCTCGGGTTTCCTCCTCCTCCTCCTCCTCCTCCTGCTTCTCCGCCTCCTCCTCCTCCTCCTCCTCCTCCTCCTCCTCCTGCTCCTCCTCCCCTCCTCCTCCTCCTCCTCCTCCTCCTCCTCCTCCTCCCGGTCCTCCGCCTCCTCCTCCGCCTTCTCGCCTTGATCCTGCATGCCCTGGATCTTGGATCGGCAATCGTAGACCCTCGGAACATCGAAAACGGCTGTCGTGGCCTGCGTTCTGCCTCTTACCTCTCGGCCGCCCCCCCTCGGTTGGAGAGAATCGTGTGGCCACCTCTTGGGGGCTGTGTGGGGGCCTCGTCGAGCTTCTATTCTGTCTCGACGGGGCATTTGGGGGCCCTCTTGGGCTCTCATCGGTGCCGTTTGGGCCGTATTGGACGCCTCTTCTCTTGGGCCGTCTGGGGGCCGCCTTGGGCCGTCTGGGGGCCGTCTTGGGCGGCTCTTGGAGCTGTCTTGAATGCCTTCTGGGCTGTCTTGAGACCGTCGTGGGCCGTCTTGGGCGCCTATTGGGCCGTGTTCGGGCCGTCTTTGTGGCTGTGTTGGGTGCCTCTTGGGCGGTCTTGGACGCCTCTTGTGTGGTCCTGGGTCCGTCTGGGGGCCCTTTTGGGGGCACCTTAGGACGATCGTGGGGGTTCTGTGGCCGTCGTGGACGCGTCGGAGACGAAAAGCACGACAATGCCAAACATGTGAGCTTTCCGACAGGAATGAAGCGATTTTGGCGTCTCGGGGCTGTCCTGGGGAATCCTCGAGGGCCGTCTTCGGAAGCTCCTGGCCTGCCCTAGGGGCCCTTGGGGCCGTCTCAGCGGCCTCTTGAGCGGCTCGGGGCGCCTCTGGAGCCCTCGGGGTGGCCTCTGGAGCGGCTCGGAGCTGTCATGGGGTTGCGAGGGCACCCTCTTGAGCGGGGCCTTCTGTGGGCTGTCCTCGGGGGCGTCTCGGAGCCGTCGTGGGGCCGTCGGGGCGCCCTCTTCAGCGGCTCGGAACCGCCGGAAGCCACTCTGTCCAGAAACCCTTTTCGCACGCACTGTATTTATTGCATGAGACAGTGGGGCGACCCCGTGGATTTCGTCCACGTCATCCAGCGTGGACTGTGGCCAGCTAGCCTCGTCCTGTTTTGGAGCCATCATCCTCTCGATCTTCGTTGGGGAATCGCGGGTCCTACGACAGCGCCCCCCAACAGAAGCATGCAGGGCCCCCGGAGCTTTGAAAACTGTCGTCCGCCTCACTTCTCTGGGAGCAGTTTGGAAGCCTCTTGGGCTCTCGTGAGGGCCGCTCGGAGGTATCCTCGAGCTTCGTATGGGGTCTTCAGGGCGATTTGGGGCCATCTCGGGCGCCTCATGGGCAGTCGTGGGCCGTTTTGGACAGTCCTGGCCGCCTCTCGGGCTGTCGTCGGGCCGCCTTGGGCGGCTCTTGGGCCGTCTTGGGCGGCTCTTGGGCCATCTTGGGCGCCTCCTGGGCCATCTTGATGGAGCCCTCCTGGGTGGTTGTGGGGCCTTTTTTCCGGATCCCCATGGACGGCCTTGGAGCGTTCGGGGGAGCCCCAGCAGCCGTCTTGGGCCGGTCTTGGCTCGAAATGGCGAGAAGGTGGGTATCTTTCAAACGGAAATCAATGATTTCGTTTGCCGCGGCCCGTCTGAACGGCCTCCGGGGCCGTGCGGGGGTCATCTTGGGGCTGTTGGGCCGTCTCGGAGCTCTCTGCGAACCCTCCTGGGCAGCTCTTGTGGCCCCTCTGGGAATTCTTGGGCTCTCTCTCGCGCCGTCTTGGTTAACTCTTGGACCGTCTAGGGCTCCTATGGGCTCCTCCGGGAGCCGTCTTGGAGCACTCCTGAGCCGTCCTAGGGCCGTTGCCAGAGCCTCTTGAGCCTGAGGGCATTCGCGGGAGGCCCAGGAGCCGTTCTGGGCCGCTCTCAGCTCGACATCGCGAGAATCTGATGAAGATCAGGCAAACACCATAAATCTAAGTGATTTCTGGCCGCCGCGAGCCATCTGGTCGGCCTCTGGGGCCGTCCTGGGGCCATGTTGGGGCTCTTGGCCCAATGTCGGCGCTCCCTGAAAGCGTCTCGAAGCGTGTTCGAGCCGCCCTGGAGGCACGCCGGGCCGCGCCAGGGGCGCCAGGGGCCCGCCGAGGCCTATTTTGGATACTTGATCCGTTTCCCTTCCCACACGCGCGTCCCCCGGCCATGTTGGAGAGATGACGTCGGACTCCAGTTTCACCTCCCACATCTCGCTCAGCAGCGCAAGCGCCGGCTGCCACTGCTCGCCCTTCTCGCACGCGCTGATCCCAGCATTGTAGCTGACTGGTGTGTACCCGAGGGTGACATCCACGGCGTGCACAACGTGTCACGCGCTCTCGTTGCACTTGACGAGACGGCTCCGCAGCAGAGCAGCCTGTCCGACCCGAGCAGGTCCTCGAAGCCGCGCGGCCCAGAGGCCTTCTGGAGGTGTCGGGAGCTCGGCATGGGGTATGGGGCTTGGCTTGGGGCTTGCGGGAAGCCGTCTTGGGGAGATCTGGGGGTCGTGGCTCTCTGGGAGCCCGTCTTGGGCCGAGCTGGGGGGCGAGGGGGCCGTCGGCGAGCGGCCCAGGGGCCTCCTGGAGGTGTCGTGGGTCGGTGTGGGGTAATGATGGAGCTTGGTTTGGGGTTTGCGGGAAATCGTCTTGGGGCGATCTGGGGGTCGTGGAATCGTCGGCGAGGCTAGAGCTGGCCCGCGGCCTTCCGGCCGCGGAATCTGCCCGCCATTGTGTGGACGTGGAAGTGGAGCGTCTCTGGGCCCTCGTGGGGGGGAGGTTGGCGGGAGCGGCGTGGACGGAGGAGGTGGTCGCTGGAGGGGGAAGCGGGCGAGGGATGCAGGCCAGGAGGCCTGGAGGCAGGAACGCGGTGGTGGAGGCGGTGTCAATGGAAGCGCACCCATGTAGGCGCGCAATGGTGTGGACAAGAGCTGTTTCTTACGCCGCGCGATCTGACGGGCGCCAGGCTGTTGGAGCTGACGCAGGCGTTCGTTCCCCCAAAGTGGATCGCCTGTGCAAAAAAACCTCTGTCCAGCTCACGGGCACGGCCACGGGCCATACGCGCCGCTTGAACTTGCCCAGGCAGTGTTTCCACGCAGCAGATTTCACCGAGGGTTTGGTCCAATGGTAAAGCTGTGCTCAGGGGCGCAGCCTCGCGGTCCAAAGCAGCCTTCTCGAAGGCGCCCCCCCCCCCCCCCTCAGTCGTGCCGTGGTACCTAGCGCCGACGTCCGTAATCATGGGCGACGCAGGAAGCTGCGCGCGCCGCCGTCCCCGACGTGCCCAGACCGCCCGCTGATAATTCTATCTCGCCCCCTTCGTCTGCGGATGTTGGTTCGCGCGAGTGCGCATCTCCAAAGATACCACATCGCGCAATAAACGCTGGCCGCGTGGAGACCCGTATTATGTGCCTATGGTCGTTGTCGCCGTCGTCGTCGTCGTCGTCGTCGTCGTCGTCGTCGTCGAAGGCGCCCTCCAGCTGGCGGATATGACGACGACAGCGCCGCCACCAGGGACGGCGGCTGCAGGACCGCGGGTCCGGGCGGGGTCGGGGGAGGGGCTGGGATGGGAGGCACGGTCGGAACAGAGGAGAGGCGAGACACGTGCAGCACACACGCAGCCCTGCACGGGCGAGGCGCACTGCACCGCAGGAATGGCGGACGCTGCGGTTCACGACGTCGCGATGGCGCGGAGTGGTCGCCACCGTGACGTCCCCGTCCGCGCCGTCTCCGCACTGGGGCCGCTCAGGCGCCCGGTGCACGGGAAGATCACCGGTAGGACGCTGGAGTAACTGTCCATTTGGTTTACTTGGGCTGCGCGTTAGAAGCCTTCTCGGGGTGTATTGACACTTCGGGGCATGCGGGACACCTATGTGGCTCCTATCGGTTTTTGGGCCATTTGGGGCGCCCTCCTCGTCCTCCCCTGGGTTCTTCATCCCGTCGATCTTCGCTAGGAGCCGTCTCGGTGTGTCTGGATCCTCTTGGGGCCTCCCTTCGATCCTTCGTCCAGTCGATCTTCGATCGTCAGTCGTCGACACTCCCGAAGAGACAAGCATCCAAGGCCTCTTGGGGGCCGTCTAAGGGCATCTTTTCGTCCTCCTGGTGGTCTCTCGGGGCCTTGTTTGGGCCGTCTTGGGTGCCTCTTGGGCCGTCTTGGGGCGATCTGGGGCTGTCTTGGGCGCCTCCTGGGCCTCCTTGGGGCCGTGTTGGGGTCATCTTGGGCCGTTGTTGGCCGCTCTTGGGGCTCTTGGGTACCTCTTGGGCCGTCTCGGGCGCCTCTGGAGCCGTCCCGGGGCCGTCTCGGGTCGTTTTGGGGCCCTCCTGGTTTCGTCTTCGAGCGATCTTGGGGACCTGTACAACCGTCTTGGAGACCCTGCTGACGAAAAAAACAAAAACATAGGACAAAGATGCGCTTTCCGAAAGGAACGGGGCGATTTTTGCATGTTGGGGCTCTGCTGGAGGTCCTCCTTGGCCGTCTTGAGAGCCTCCTGGCCTGCCTTGGAGGCCTCTGGGGCCGTCCTGGGGCTCGCTTGGGGTCCTCTTGGAGCGTCCAGGCGCCCTTTGAGCGTCTCTGAGCCGTCTTGGGGCATCTTGGGACCCCCCGGAGCCGTCTCGGAGCGCCCCAGGGTCTCGCAAGGCGCCCCAGAGGGCCGGGGGAGTACTTCAAGACACGGGACCTTCTCGCACGCAAAGGTCCCTACGTTGTAGAAGAGACTAGGGCTGACCCGTGGACAAGGTCCACTTGCGAGATGACGTTGGGTGCTGCTTACTGCTGCTGCGTATCGTTGTTGCTTGTGGCTGAAGGGTGCTGCTGATGGCCACGTCTGCTTGGTGCGTGTTGCTGACCGCTACCTGCTGCTGCTGTTGGCTTTGCCGTGCGCTGACGCTGCTGCTGCTTTTCGGGTATTGGGGGCGTTTGGGGCCTCCCCAGGATCATCTTGAGCAACCTTGAGGCTGTATTGAGGCCACGGCTGGAACTTAAGAAGCAACAGTGAGCCTTCTTTCCTCACGATGTTCCATGGTGGCTGTGGCCGCCCGAAGAGTTCGGAGGATGCGCGCCGGCTGCGTAGGCTGGGGAACGGATTGAAGGATCTGGGGAGCATACCCCCAATGGCCAGCCTGTCCAGAACACTCTTGGAAAGAACTCTCGGACGAGTCGCCCATTCGGACCAGAGCCTTTGCAAAGGATGGGGGGAAACTAAGAAGCGCATGGGCGCCTTGTTCTTCTAGGTGGCTGGTGCGGTCCCAATGCTCTCTGAGGGACCTTCCCGCGGAAGCGGGCGTCTGGGGGGCCTCTTGGGGGCCAGCTGGCGGTTTCTGGGATCTTCCTGGAGCGGAGGGCGCGACATGTCAGTTCGAGTTCCCCCTCGTGGGGCCCGCTTGGGGCCGTCTTGGGGGCCTCGTGGGCCGTCTTGGGGCCCTCTTGGGCTGTCTAGGGAGCTGTCTTGGGGCCTCTTGGGCCCTGGGGCCGGCTTGGCGCGACGAGACTCCGAAAAGGCGAGAACGCTGAAGCCCTGCGGAAACCCAAGGGAAACTGAGAGGCCCTTCTTGGGGACCTCTTGGAACCCTCCTGGGCCGCCCTCCGGCACAAGGAGGCCGTCTGAAAGTCTTATTGGCGACCTCTTGGACCGTCTGGGGGCGTCTCGAGGCATCTTGGACCGCCCTGGAGCCCCCTGGGGCCGCTGCGGGGCTGGGAGGGACACCTTGATGGAGAAACCCTCCTCGCACGCACCCGTCCTGGTATTGTAGGAGAGACTAGTGCGAACCCGTGGATTCAGGCCACGATGAGCTGAACCTGGGACTCGCATACCGTGGGTGAACAGCTCGTCGAAATTGAACAGCTCGGGCATCCCTGGGGCCGTGTCGGGGGCATGTCGGGCCCTCCTGCGAGCCTGTCTGGGGCGTCTTGACGGCTTCCTGCGGTTTTTAGGCGCCTCTGGGGCATTTCCCGGGCTGTCCCCCAGAGCCCTTTCTGGGGGACAGCCCGGCTAACTTATTGTGCGTGCGTGCGCGCTGTGAGGTTGCTGTCATAAGGTCCTCCCTGTCTCCTCTGAGGGTAGCTGCAGGGTTTGCTGCAAGCTCTGGGAGCCGGGGCTGGAGGCTGTCTTCAAATATCCCGGGCGGATCTGCGCCATCTCGGAGTGGTTCAGGGAGGGATCTCATGGTCTTGGGGCTGTTTTTAGGGGCCACCGAGGGCTCTACTCGGTCGTAGGGGGGGAGCGACATGCTGGTCTACGCAGTGTCTGCAGGTCCCCCCCCCTGTCACCCCTAATCGGCCGTAGATGGGGAGCGATCCAAATGGCTGCAGGTCCCCCCTGTCACCCCCGACAGGCGGAGTGGAGGCCCAGAGCGGCTGGATCCTCGATGAAGGAAGGAAGAAGAGATCAGAAGAGAAGGCCCCCCCTGTCACCCCTGATTGGCCGTAGGGGGGGAGGTCTTGAGGGCGACTCTGGGCCATCTCGGAGTGGTCCTGGGATCGCTCTTGGGAGCTCTGTGGGAACTATGGGAGTCTCTTCCTGGGACCGCTCTTGGGAGCTCCGTAGGAACTGTCGGAAGCTCTTGGCATGCGTCGGTGTCTTCTGGGCGACTGTGGCCTCTGGGGCTGGCCCTGGGACCGCTCTTGGGAGCTGTGGGGACTATCAGAGCCTCTTGAGAGGCTCTGGGGCATCTCGGAGTGGTCTGGGGCCTGCCTTGGAGGTCTGGGGCTTTCTTGGGGGCGTTTGGGGTTCGAGAGACGGCGAAAGGATGTCGAGGGTCGAGGCGCTCTCCTTGGGAGCTCCTTGGGAAATATCGGAGTCTCTTGGGAGACTTAGGGGCACGTAGGAGTGGTCCGTGGAGGGTTCTGGGCTCCTTGGGGGCTGCGGGAAGGATGTCGTCTGGGCTCCCCTCGGCCCCTCTTGGAGCCCTCGGGCGGGTCTTTGCGGAGCCTTTAGGGGCCCTCTTGGCCCATTTCGGGGCATTCTTGGTCCGTATTCGAGGCCTCTTGGGCCGTCCGAAAGCAATGTAGGGGGTCTCGGGACGTCTTGGAGCTCGCTTTGGTGCCTGCTGGGCAGATCCTACAATCCTCGTCAAAATTAACCTCAAAAATCATGAACGTCAAAAAGTTCAGCCACGTAAGACATTATGTCTTACGTGGCTGAACTGTTTGTGGGGAGAAACTGGACAGAGCAACGGTGACTGCGAGGTACGTGTATGCGCCGCCCCGCCAATGTCGGTCATCATCGAACTTCCGAGTTGTTCCCGGTCAGACCACCTTTGCCCTGGCCCCGACATTGGAGGGGCGTCTATCGATATTGAAGGGCGCGCCGACATCGCAGAGGCGCGTTCGCCATTTTTGATGTAAATTTTGGCGATGGTAGCAGGGCCCTCTTGGAGCTGTCTTGGGGGCGACCAGCGGCTCTGTGAGGCTGTCTTGGGCTTCTCCTGGGCAGTCTTCGGGCCCTCTGGGGCTGTCTTGGGGCACTTAGCGGGGCCTCCTGGACCGTCTTGGGGCGATCTGGTATGGCCTTGGAGCCGTCTGGAGCTGGCAGGGCCTTGGAGCCGTCTGGAGCCCTTCTTGGCTCGAAATGGCGAGAACATGGACCACTTTTAAAATCAAAATTATCCCAGTGCGACCCTACCTAGGAGTTGGAGCATTCAGGAAAGCAACAGCTAAGCTAAGCTAAGCTAAGCTAAGATGGGGTAAGCTAAGCTAAGCTAAGCTAAGCTAAGCTAAGCTAAGCGAAGCGAAGCGAAGCTAAGCTAAGCTAAGCGAAGCGAAGCGAAGCTAAGCTAAGCTAAGCTAAGCTAAGCTGGGCTAGGCAAAGCTAAGCTAAGCTAAGCTGAGCTGAGCTAAGCTAAGCTAAGCTAGGCTAGGCTAGGCAAAGCTAAGCTAAGCTAAGCTAAGCTAAGCTAAGCTAAGCTAAGCTAAGCTAAGCTAAGCTAAGCTAAGCTAAGCTAAGCTAAGCTAAGCTAAGCTAAGCTAAGCTAAGCTAAGCTAGCTAAGCTAAGCTAAGCTAAGCTCTAAGCTAAGCTAAGCTAAGCTTAAGCTAAGCTAAGGCTAAGCTAAGCTAAGCTAAGCTAAGCTAAGCTAAGCTAAGCTAAGCTAAGCTAGCTAAGCTAAGCTAAGCTAAGCTAAGCTAAGGCTAGGCTAAGCTAAGCTAAGCTAAGCTAAGCTAAGCTAAGCTAAGCTAAGCTAGCTAAGCTAAGCTAAGCTAAGCTAAGCTAAGCTGAGCTGAGCTAAGCTAAGCTAAGCTAGGCTAGGCTAGGCAAAGCTAAGCTAAGCTAAGCTAAGCTAAGCTAAGCTAAGCTAAGCTAAGCTAAGCTAAGCTAAGCTAAGCTAAGCTAAGCTAAGCTAAGCTAAGCTAAGCTAAGCTAAGCTAAGCTAAGCTAAGCTAAGCTAAGCTAAGCTTAAGCTAAGCTAAGCTAAGCTAAGCTAAGCTAGGCAAAGCTAAGCTAAGCTAAGCTGAGCTGAGCTAAGCTAAGCTAAGCTAGGCTAGGCTAGGCAAAGCTAAGCTAAGCTAAGCTAAGCTAAGCTAAGCTAAGCTAAGCTAAGCTAAGCTAAGCTAAGCTAAGCTAAGCTAAGCTAAGCTAAGCTAAGCTAAGCTAAGCTAAGCTAAGCTAAGCTAAGCAGGGTAAGTTAAGCTAAGCTAAGCTCGGGGAACCCAGGGGGCGCAACCGGGGGAACCAGGGGGGCGCAACCGGGGGAACCGCCCGGGGTGAGCGTCATTGCCCGCCCCCTTTAGCCAAGAAAGTAAGAACCCTTCTAGGCAGAGCCTAGGTAGGGAATAAAATCGATTGTTTTCGCCACGGGGAACGTTCATCGGAGCCCAGCTGGGCCGTCTTCGGAGGCACCTGGCCCGTCGTCGGGCCGTCCTGGGCTGTCATGGAGCTCCGTTCGGGCTCTCTTGGGACGTCCTCGCGCCCTCCGGAGCGTCTCGGAACGATATTCGAGCTGTCTGAGGCCGTGTTGGAGCCACCTGGGGCTCTCGGGAGCCGTCGGAAAGCGGCGGGGCGCTCTGGGCGGTCGGGGGCAGCTGGCGCACTGCTGGCGCATCTCGCACGCGCACCGACCAGAATTGTAGTACAGATGGCGTCAGGCTCCAGCTTCACCTCCCGCATCTCTCTCAGCAGCGCCAGCGCCCGCTGCCACTGCTCACCCTTCTCGCACGCGCTGACCCCAGCGCTGTAACTGATGACGTTGGGCTCCACCTTCGCCTCCCACATCTCACTGAGCACTGACAGCGCGTGTTGCCATCGCCCGCATTTTCTGCATGCGCTGACAGTCGCAACGTAGTGGCTTGGGACGAGTTGCACACCTAATCGAATTCCTTCGCGGAGCAACCGCAGTGCTGCGCTCCATTGTCTTGTCCGACCGCAGTTCTTGATCGACGCTTCGAGGGAACTAGCGCCCTTTCGAGACCCTCGACCGATGTCCAGCATCCGAGAAATCCATCCAGTAAGACACACCACGACAGCTGGTTGAGTCCAATCTTGAGCCCCTCCTCCTCCTCCTCCTCCTCCTCCTCCTCCTCCTCCTCCTCCTCCTCCTCCTCCACGGCTACTGGAGGGGGCTGTCTGCGCGCAGCCCGAAGCCTTACGTCAATGACTACTTGGCTCGTCTTCAGAAGGCCCTTAAGAACCGTGGGTCGGGGCCATGCGGGGGCCGTGTTGGCAGCGAGGTGCCTCTGCGCCACTCCTCCGCCCGGGCCAACGCGTCGATGAGCGTGTTGTGCGTGACCTGGGGGGGTGCTCACATGTAGGGAGCGGGCGGGGAAGGCGGAGGAACAGAGGGAGGAGAGAGGATAGAGGAGCAGACAACGGTGTGAACATGATTTCTCCGAGGTCCGCGCGAATGTCTTGGATCGGCGCTGGACACCCCTTCTAGGCGCGCGGAACGTGCCAGGGGGAGCGCTGGAGGCGCCGCCAGGGGGGCCCAGCGCCAGTCCAAGAAATCCTCGCGGACCTCAAAGACATTACGAGTTGCTGCTTGTTTTTTCTTCGGGAAAGAAGAGGGGGGTGAGGCGAGGACGGGGAGGAGGAGGCGCGAGGAGGAGGAGGAGGAGTAGGAGGAGGAGGAGGAGGAGGAGGAGGAGAGGAGGAGGAGGAGGAGGAGGAGGAAGAGAGGAAGGGGAGGAGGAACGAGGGGAGGAGAAGGGGAGGAGGAGAGGAGGAGGAGGAGCAGAGGAGAGAGAGGAGGAGAGGAGGAGGAGGAGCAGGAGGAGAAAGAGGAGGAGGAGGAGGAGGAAGAGGAGAAAGAGGAGGAGGAGGGGGGAGGAGGAAGAAGAGAGGAGAAGGAGGAGGAGGAGAGGAGGAGGAGGGAGGAGAGGGGAGGAGGAGGAGGAGGAGGAGAGGAGGAGGAGGAGGAGGGAGGGAGGAGGAGAAGGAGAAGGAGAAGAGAACGAGGAAAAGGAGGAGGAAGAGGAGGCGAGACGATGAGGAGACCCGATCACCCAAGAAGAGCTCACCCCGACGAGAGGCCAAACCCGCCGGCGGCATGGGCCTGTCGACACGGCCTCGCGGGCGCGCGAAACTCGTAAGGTGATGGTCTGCACACGCCCGTGCAGACACTCGCGATGCTGGAGGGGGAGGAGGAAGAAGAGGAGGAGGAGTAGGCGGAGGAGAAGAAGGAGGAGAAGGAGGAGGAGGAGGAGAAGGAGGAGGAGGAGGAGGAAGAGGAGGATGAGGAGGAGGAGGAGGAGGAGGAGGAGAGGAGGAGGAGGAGTAGGAGGAGGAGGAGGAGGAGGAGGAGGAGGCGGAGAAGGAGGAGGAGGAGGTGGAGGAGGAGGAGGAGGAACAAGATGAGGAAGAGGAGGCGAGACGAGGAGGAGACCCGATCACCCAGGAAGAACTCATCCCGACGAGAGGCCAAACCCGACGGCGGCATGGACGGCGAGGTCGAATTTGAATCCGCGTACGGCGTCGCTCCGCTGGACCCCCTGGGAGCCATCGAAAGTGGCGACAATTTCGCAAACCGCAGCCCCCCAAGGTTGGCGAGGTCTCGTGGTGATCCGTGTAGGACGTCACTCCGCTGGACCCCCCAGCAACCCTCGAAAGTGGCGACAGTTTCGCAGATCGCAGTCCCCCCGGGGATGGCGAGGTCAACTATGACTTTGCGTGGGACGTCTTCTGCTGGATCCCCACAGCCCTTGAACGTGGCGACAGTTTCGCAAATCGCACCCCCCCAAGAATGGCCAGGTCGAATCCACGTCTGCGTGGGACCTCACTCCGCTGGACTCCCCAGCAGCTCTCGAACGTGGCGACAGTTTCGCAGATCGCAGCCCCACAGGGATGGCGAAGTCTAATCTGAGTCTGAGTGGGACCTCACTCCGCTGGACCCCCCAGCAGCCACCGAAAGTGGCGGCAATCTCGCAGATCGCAGCCCCACAGGGGTGGCGAGGTCTAATCTGAGTCGGCGTGGGACGTCACCCCGCTGGATCCCCACAGCCCTCGAACATGGCGACAGTTTCTCAGATCGCAGCCCCACAGGAATGGCGAGGTCTAATCTGAGTCTGCATAATTCCCCACTCCGCTGACCCCCCCCCCCCAAACAGCCCTCGAAAGTGTCGACAGTTTCGCATATCGCAACCCCCCAGGGATGACGATGTCAAATCTGAATCTGAATGGTTCCCCACTCCGCTGGACCCCCCCAGCAGCCCTCGAAAATGGCGACAGTTTCGCAACTTGCAGCCGCCCAAGAATGGCGAGGTCTAGACTGAGTCTGCGTGTGACGTCACCCCGCTGGACCCCCCAGCAGCCCTCGAACGCGGCGACAGTTTCGCAGATCGCAGCCCCCCAGGAATGGCGAGGTCTAATCTGAGTTTGCGTGGGACCCCACTCCGCTGGATCCCCCAGCAGCCCTCGAAAGTGGCGATGGCTTCACAGATCGCAGCCTCCCAGGGACGGCGAGGTTTAATTTGAGTCCGCGTAGGACGTCACTCCGCTGACCCCCAGCAGCCCTCGAAAATGGCGACAGTAGTTTCGCAGATCGCAGCCCCTACTGAATGACGAGGCCTAATCTGAGTCTGCGTGGTTCCCCACTCCGCTGACCCCCCCCAGCAGCCCTCGAACGTGGCGACAGCTTCGCAGATCGCAGGCCCCCAAGGATGACGAGGTCTAATCTGAGTCTGCATGGTTCCCCACTCCGCTGACCCCCCCCCCAGCAGCCCTAGAAAGCAGCGACAGTTTCGCAGATCGCAGCCCCACATGGATGGCGAGGTCTAATTTGAATCTGCGTGGTTCCCCACTCCGCTGGACCCCCCAGCAGTCCTCGAAAGTGGCGACAGTTTCGCAAATCGCAGCCCATCCAGGGATGGCCAGGTAGGAGGCAAGCTGGCACGCAGGAAGGAGCGAGGTGAGAGGCAAAAGGAAAGGGGAAGGGGGCGGGAGAAGGTGTGCGACCGCAGTGCTCTATTCAAAACGGAAACCCAACGTAAGCGCGGAAACGCGGAAATGAGGACGCGTAGCCTGACATAGCATGGCGTGGAGACGCCCCAGTGTGGGGGCTTCTGCGGTCCAGAAAATCAGCGAGTCGGCACCGAATGTGTAATCACTTTCGATGTTTTTTGGTCGGAGGCCATTGTCTAAATTTTGGGACCATTTGAGCGTGTTTCTGTATTGCTTGGGGCATGACGGGCGTTATGGCCCCCGCCCCCCCCCCATATGACGTAACGCTCCCCCCCCAGAATGCGCTCCGGGCACTGCCGCCGTGCGCATCGGGATCCGCATAAAGTGTCCACATAAGAATCCGATTAGGAGTCTGGTCCACAGTCGTCGTCGTCGTCGTCGTCGTCGTCGTCGTCGTCGTCGTCGTCGTTCGTCGCTCGTCGCTCGTCACTTGTGGCTCGTCGTCGTTTGCGCGCGGACGCGGCTGGAGTCTGTTTATTTATTCCCGGCCAATGACGGCAATCATCTGGGGGGGGGGGGCGGAGGGGGCCGATGACGTCACGTTTCGCGCCGGCGGCGTCTGGGAATGCCTAGGAATGACCGAGGACGGGTAGCAGCAGCATGTAGGTGGCGATCTGCACCACAACGCCTGTGTACACCACAGTGCCTTCGTGCACATCACTCCCAGCACACACTTGTGGAACCGACTACGCAGGAAAAGCAACGACAACATGTACCATCATGTACCTGTGACACTCCGGGGGTAAGAACCTGTTCGGCCGAATGCATCCACACGGTGCGCCTCTTCAACCTGCAAACAAATCCCAAGGCAATGGAGCCCCCATCCCTCAACCTTCCGACGCCTACGACGGGTTCTTGGCGTTGGTTTCTGACACCGCGTGGATCGCTCAACCTTGAAGGATCGCGGCCCTCCGACAGCGCAGATCGTCCGGCGTCGGTCGATTCCAGGCCACTGGCGGCGTTCAACCTTGAACGCACGCGGCGGGATCGCTGCCGCGTCGGCACGACGCGAGCCTACCAGGCTCGACGGCGGTCGGCCCCAGCGGGGGTGGTCTCCTTGTCGGCGTCGAGCCTCACGGCTGCCATGCCAGCCGCACAGGCCAGCGCCCGCTCCCACTGTCGCGCGCCACCGCCTCGGCAGCCGTGAGTTAATAGTGGCACGCGCGCAGCATCTGCAGCATAGGCCTGGAGCCTTCCTGCCTCTGCTTCTCCATTCCTTGCTCCCTTCTGCTCTTCCTCCCTCCTGCGTGCCTCTCCCCCGTTCCCTCCCTGCCCTCCCCTTTCCTATCGCGAGGAACGCATGCTCTGGACACCCATGCGCATCCTCAAGGCATCTCTGTCCAAGGCGCGCACAACTACCCACCAATCGTGCTGCTGTGTGCTGGCGTCTCTTACTTGCAGAATCCCGACGCAGGCAGGACGGCCCCGATTTGAATGTGTGGTGCGGGCGGCGCCGCACACACGATGCTGTCGCGCAACCTCCGAAACAGCAGTGGAAACCGCGCCATGCCCTGACGAAACCCACCCTTGACAGAGACAGCACGTCATCACCGCATCCCGGCCGCCGAGTTTCGTAACGACCCGGGGCGTCCAAATTGACACATACGCCAGACAAGCAAGCGACGCGAGGCCACAACGCGTCCCAACTACCCCGTCACTTCGCCATGGGCGGGGGGGGGCCCGTGGGCGCATCCTGACACCCGACGTTGCGAGAAAAACAACGAAGGATCACGATTGGAGCCCGAGGCCCAAGTTTATTATATCTATTATTTTATTTTATTATTAGCATTATTATTATTACCATTACTATCATTATTATTATCATTATTATTACTATATTTGCTCATTTGGGCTTAAGTTTGCTGGCGACAAACTTAGGTCCGAGGCCCAAGTTTGCTGGCGGCATTTGTCGAGCCCGATCGATACGTGGTGGATCTCGGGGCAGCAGCCTCGCCCGAAGCATCGGCCTCTCTGCGCAAGGGAGCATAAACACCTGAAGGCCGGGGAACGTCGCCAGAGACGCCATCAGCCCAGAGCCGCCGTGGCTCGGAGGTGCCCGCGACCCAGCGGCCACTGTGCGGACGCAACAGGTCGTTGAAGCTGTGGCTGCCCACGAGTTGATGATGATGATGATGATGATGATGATGATGATGATGATGATGATGATGATGATGATGATGATGAAAAGGAGGATGATGATGATGTGTTTTTCGTTGTTTTCTCCAGCGCTGCTGAAATATCTCGTATTTCGTGTCGCGGCAAAATGTGGAACCTCGCGGCCTTGGAGCCCCATTGGCTTAGGGCCTCCTCCACGGTGTGCGAACCCCAGGGATCCAAGGGCCAGAGTGTGCACAAGATCCCCTGGGACGACCATGGCGAGTGGCACTCCGTGGAGGTTCCAAAGGCCACGATGTGGAGAACCCCATGGCGACCGCGGGACAACTCCGCCGCACAGGGCTGATTCCTTAGAGAGCACAAGTGAGACACCGTCAAGTGCAGTCATTGCTTGGGTTATCTGTATGTGTGTAGGTAGGTGGGCCGGCGGGTAGGTAGGTAGGTATTTATGTCTGTCTGCCTGCCTGTCTGTCAGTATGTATGTTTGTATATATGTACGCATGTGTATGTATGTATATACATATATAGGTGTGTGTATGTATGCATGTATGCATGTATGTGCCTGTGTGTATGTTTGCTTGTTGGATTGTATGAGTGCAGGTGCGTATAGTGTATGCATATGCATGTACGGTGGAGGTTTTAGAGAAGGATCCGATTATTGAGAAACGCGGAAGCCCGGAATTTCATTGATGGTTTAAGAAATGGTCGAGACCTTGGACAACAAGAGGTTATGACCATATGAATTCAAGATTTTCCCAGACCCTGAGCTGCACCCTCCAACCCTTACAATATAACGAATGCCCGAGGGTCCCACATGGAAGCAAAGCTTCCTTAAATAATGCCTCCACCGTATGTATGGTACGTATGTACGTACATGTGTATGTATGTATATGGGTCTGCATTACTATGCATGTACGTGTGTATGTATGCATGTATGCATGTATGCATACATGCATGCATGTATGCGGTATGTAGGTGTTTCTGTGTGTATGCACGTCTGTATGTATGTCTGTATGCATGTATGTATGTATGTATGTGTGTGTATGTATGTATGTGTGTATACATGCATGCACGCATGTATGTATGTGCGTGCATACATGTATGAATGTATGCATGCATGCCAGCGCTTTTGGGAAAACGCCCAAACAAACAACGCCTAGAGGATAGCGCAAAGGCGCCCCCCCGCGCCCCCCATTTCAATGTTCTGAAGGAGCAGGCCGCGGTTTGCAAATGTGGGCATTTATTTCGAAACGATTCGCACTCCCCCGCGTCGACCGCCCCGATCTTTGAAAGTGGGGCCGGGGGGCTGGGCCCGCTTCAACACGCATTCGATATGGGCTTTTTGTTCGAAAGCCACGGTGCCCCCCGACGGTCGTTTGCGTACACCCAGGTACGTGGTGCAAACTGCTGGTGCGATCTACGAGGTGCACTTTGTTCGGCTACAGTTAAGTGGTGCCATGTATGTGGCGCAGGCTACGCGGCGCAAGCTACGTGGCACAAGATGGCGCAAGCGGAATCAGTCGCATTACTTCTTCTTGTTCTTCTCGCCCATGCAGAACTCTCGGCTTAATCCGACTCCAATTCGCCTTCCCTCTTGCCTGAATTACACCAGCGCGCGGCCGGCCTGCGCGGGCCGCACCGCCTTGTGCAGGCGGCGCTGCTCGAGCTTCCTCGGACTCTGGAAAGCTGCCCTGCCCGCCCAGTCCTCCACCTCGAGCTCGGCCACGTTGGCAGCGCCGAGGGCTGGCAGCTCGGTGCGCAAGGCGAAGACGACCCCCTCGGGGAGCTTCGCCTCGCGCCCCAGCTCCGCCGCGCCCGCGACCGCCGCGGCCTCGGGCGCGGCAGGGCGCGCCGCCTCGTGCGCCGTGGTCGGCAGCGCCACTGGCTGGGCGCTCCGCAGCGCCGCGGCCGCGTCTGCGGCCTGCGCGCCCTCGACAATCCACTTGCACATGTGGACTGCGCAGGGGTTACATCGGCGCAATTCGCTACCGTGGCGGTGCACCGGATGACTTCGAAGCGGCGCGCGTCCTCCTTGGAGACTTTCCCAATGTAGCCCCACAGCCCCTCCTCTGGCGATGTCACGAGGCACCCGCGCCGCCACTGGAAGGCCTCGTTCCTGTGGCCATGAAGTCTAGCGCCAGCGCCTGCTCCCCCAGTTTCCACAGGCAACTGCCCATTCGCCAAGGCGAAGCCAGCCTGCCGGGCGCCGGGGCAAGCGGGCGCCGGGCGCTTGGCTCGCTGCCCCCGGTGTCCCGTCGAGCACAATATGAGGCATCTGCGCCTCGAACGGCAAGCCGTTGAACAAGCTGAGAACCGTTCCAGCCTCCACCGTGCTCTGCGTGTACTGGACCGGTCGGTAGTCGTTACAAGAACTGCTCGTCTTCCAGCATGCTGCGCAGCGCGAGCGGGGACTTGACGGCCTCGGCAGCGCCAACGGGGCCAACGCGGTAGGTTTTAAACTCCTGGTGCGATTTGCAAGCCGCGGCTTGAGACAAGTTGGCAGGGCACCAAGAATGCGGCGGGGGCGGCGGCCGGCCGCGGGTCGAGCCCCCGGCCAACCTCCTGTGGCAGACCGCATTTTTTCCACAAGTGCCGGTAGTTGCCAGACAGTCGCAGGAAAATTGCCCGATAGTTGACGCCTACTTTTTACATAGATGCCGACCATTCTGCAAGAACAAATGATCTTCGATTTTTTCTCACCGGAACGACGGCAACCGCGTAAAACGCGCGCGGCAAGTATATCCAGCAACCGGCTGGCAACTACCGGCAACTGTGCTAAAAATATAATCGGCTGCGCTCGCCCCTCGCAGGCGCTACGAGTAGCCCAGAGCGTCGCCGCGGCGCGCTCCGCGCGAGCAGGGTCTCCGCCCGAAGCCCCCAAGGCCCCAGGGCCCCCCGTCGCCCCCCCGCAGGTTCCGGGGGGTCAACGGCGGCGTCGCGCGGGGTGCTGTCGCGCAAGAAGAGAGCTCGTCGAGCGACTTTACCCATCGCCGAGAGGGCGCGGAAGTGGCCGGAGACGGCCGATCGCCCGGGCAGAGAAAGCCGCCCGGCACAGACCGTGCGCCACAAGTAGAAGACGCCGCGCCCTGACGGCGCACCGGCTGGAAAAACTGCGACCACGCGGGCGCGCCGCGCGGCTGTTGCGAATTCCCCCCTGCCCCGGCGGCCGCGGTAACTCCGCGGTCGGGCAGCGTTTGCGCCCTAGCAGAGCCGGGCGACCGAGCGGGGCGCAAGCGCCCCCCGCGCGCGCGCGTCAGTCGCTCGGAACGCACCCGCCCTCGCTCTCGACGACCTCGGCAGCCTTAGCCTTCGTCTCACCGGCTGCCGCCCAGATGGTGGACGCCGGGGCGCCCGCGGCGGCCCTGCGCAGGCGGTTATTGCAAGCAGTCTGGCTCTCTCTAGCTGGCGGGGGCTGGGAGGCCGCGCGCCTGCTCACCTCGACCCGGGCGAAAGAATCCACCGGGTCGAGATCTGGGCAACGCTACGGGAATGGCACGGCGGTGATCTTCAGGCCCTTCCCTAGCGCGGCCTGGCTGCGCGCGCGGCCGGATCGCAGTCGGATCGCAGCGGGGTCGCAATCTGATCGCAGTCGGAACGCAACCCGAACGCAACCAGTCCTCCGCGTCCAGGTCACTATCGGGGCCGCATCGGAACGTGACCAGCACGCCATTCGGGCTGCGAGGCCATCGCTTTAACCTTCTCGATCTCTATCGGACCACAACAGACAGGATTGCGAGCGCAGATTGGGCCCCCCCAGCGCTTCCATGCAACAGTCGGCGCGCAGCGCAGGGCGGCGCTGAAGGCGGCGCTTGCACTCCATCGCGCTGTTGGACTTCCAGGGCGCGGGAGCTGGAATTCTCGGGGTAGTTGCGGTGCGGCGACGGGGCCAGCACCTTCGAGTAGAAGTCGCAGGTGGCGCTGGCGCACCAGCGCTTCGGGAGGTAGTGCCAGACGCGGATCTTGACCTTCATAATCGCCGCCGCCACTTTCACCCTCGCGCCAGGATTCGCGCGGAGCT